GGGTTGCGGGCAGTTGCTGTCGATCGGAGCAGATACTGCACTTGATCGTTGTGGGGGGGGGCGGCATAGTTGGTTAGATTGGGGTCTCTCTGTCCCTCTCTCACTTTCTCTCTCTCGCGTGCGCGCACGCACCCTTTTTTTTTTTTTTTTTTGGTAAACGGTCTCCATGGACCACGGATCCCACACTAGATCGTTTGAGAGGGACGGGGGGGGGGCGCAGTTATGGGGTCTCTTTCTCTCTCCCTCTCTCTCTCTCTCTCCCCCATGTCTTGGGCGTGCTTGTTTTTTCTTCTCCCGCATTTTTACCCGTCTCGACGAACCATGGATCTGATCAAAGCAGATACTGCACTTGATGGTGTGGGGGGGAAGGGGTGGGGGGAGGCGAATAGTTCGTTAGGTTGGGCTCTCTCTCTCTCTCTCTCGCGCGCGCGCGTGCGCCCACACATGCTTTTTAATTTTTTTGAATAAAAAGGTCTTGAATCTGTCGATGGACCACGGATCAGATATGAAACTGAACGGCGCAGGTACTACGCTTGATAGTGTGGGGGGAAAGGGGGGAGGAGGCCTATTGTTAGTTACGTTGGGCTCTCTCTCTCTCTCTCTCTCTCTCTCTCTCTCTCTCTCTCTCTCTCTCTCTCTCCTTATACACATCTAGATGTGTATAAGAGACAGCACACACACACACACACACACACACACACACACACACACACACACACAGACTTCCGTTTTCTCGTTTTTTTTTTTTTTTTTTCGATTGATTAATTGATCGATTGATTGATTGGTTGATTGCTGGGGGAGGGGTCGCCCCCCTACCCCCGCCCGATCACACACATACACACACACACACACACACACACACACACACACACACACACACACACATACTTGCACGGGGTTTCGAAGCCTCTTTTCTTTTTCTTTTTCTGTTTTCTGTTTTTATTTTTTGTTACGCAATAGAAAACAACAATGCCCCCCCAAAAAATATGGGCGTGTAGGGTTTTTTGAGCCCTATACGCCCATTTTTTTTTTTTTTTTTTTTCATGCGTTAGAAAAAAAAAAACAATCCTGCACCAAACTCAGCTGGTCGGCCGTGGCCGAACCTGGCCGATTCGGCCGTCGGCCGAGGCCGCGGCCGATTTCCCCCCCCCGGCCGCGGCCGGGCGTGCAACATAGCACGCGCATACTTTTTTTCCTCTTCTTTTCTAATATAAAAAGGTCTTCATGGACCACGGATCAGATATGAAACTGA